ATACACCAATGTGGGGGTTAACTCAACCTCTCCAACAATGGTGATAATCAAACTGACACTACCACTGCCACCATTGTCGGTGCTGCCGCCATATCACTAGTGTCGTCGTCACTACCCCGCACCATCACCACCACCATGTCACCGTCACCATCACCATCAACCACCACCACCATCATCGCAACTACTGTCGTCGCCGCCACCGCCATCACCACGCCACTGCCCTCACTACTACCACCACCACGATGCCACCGCCTAGGATGCACCGACACTGACACGGGAAACGACACGACACGCCGACACGTAAATTCTAAAAAATGTCATATTCTGACACTTTGGGACACATTTTGATATTATATAATATTTTTAATATATATAATATAATTTATATTTAATACATATAACAACTCATAATAAGTCATATAACCAATCAAATATTCAAGTTTTATAACATAAATATAAACAAAAATAATTTTTCGTACCTTGTTAATTTTTCATGTCAAATTTCATAACAGAGAAAAATTGATTTATAAATTATTTTTTAATGTTTAGTTAATAAAATAAAATTTATTTGTAAAAAAAATGTGTCGGAGCGTGTCGAAACGTTGACTGCGTGTGGAAAAACGTGTCAGAACGTGTCGAAGCGTTGACCGAGTGTCTTAAAATGTTGACCGCGTGTCGAAACGTGTAGGAGCGTGTCGGTGCCCGACACGTATTTTTTGAAAAAATGAGTGTGTTGGTGCATTGAAGGCCACCGCTACCATCACCACCACTGTCACCAACCACCACTACCATTATCGCAACCACCACCGTCACCGCCGGCGCCACAACCATCGTCACAGCCACTCCGTCACCACCACCATCGCCACCATTACACCACCCCCGCCACTATCATCACTACGCCATCACTACCACCACTGTCACCTACCACCACCGTCGTAGCCACTGCCACCACCACCACCATGATGCCATCACAACCACCACCACCATGCCACTGCTATCATTGTTGCCGCCACCAACCACCATCCCCACCACCATTATCGCAGCCACTGCCGTCACCTCCAACACCACAATCCCCACCACTACGTCGCTGCCACCATTACCATCGTCATCGTCGCAGTCACTGCCGTCACAGCCACCACCACTATCATCACCACGTCACTGCCACCACCACTACCGTATTGTTGCCGCCGCCACCACAACCACACCATATGGAAAGAAAAATGATGATTCAATTTTTTTTTATATTTAATAGGAATTATTTTTTATTATATTATTTGTTGTGTTATCAAACACAATTCTCATTCTCGGAATAAAAATAGAACATGTTATCAAACATATTTCTTTCTCAGAAACTGTTCCAGAAATAGAAAAGAATTGTTTTTTTTCAGAAATAGTGCTAGGGAATAGAAAGGTTGTCATGCACACCCTTATTCCATGACCCTTTTCATTTTCTTCCTCACAAAGCTCATCCCCTTAGGGTGTGTATGACAACCATTATGTTCTCTGTCACTATTTCTGAAAAGAAACAATTCTTTTCTATTTCTGTGCCTCGGAATAAATTTTGAGAAAAAAAATGTGTTTGATAACATGTTTAATTTTTATTCTGAGAATGAGAATTGCGTTTGATAACACGTTTAATTTTTATTTTGAGAATGAGAATTGCGTTTGATAACACAATAACTAATAGAATAAAAAAATATTCCTCTTAAGCATAAAATTTTTTGGATCATCACTTTCCATTTCATATGGTATGGTGGTGGTGGCGGCAGCAGCGACGGTAATGGTGGCGATGATGGTGGTCTAATAGTGGTGGCAGTGGCGTCATGGTGGCGGTGGTGATGGTGATGGCATGATGGTGGTGGTGGTGCAGCGATGGTGGTGGTGCTGCATCGATGATGGTGGTAATGGTGGTGGCGGCGATGGCGGCAATAGTGGTGGTGGTGGTGATGGCCGCAGCGGTGGTGACGATAGTGGCTTCGGCGATGGTGATGGTGATGATGGTAGTGATAATGGTAGTGATAATGGTGGTGACAGTGATGATAATGGTGGTCGTGGTGGTGATGATGGTGATGGTGGCGGTGACATAGAGGTGGTGGTGGTGACCGCAGTGGCCACATCAATTGTGGTGATAATTGTGGCGATGATGGTGGTGACATGGTGGTGGCGGTGGCGGTGACAATGGCATGATAATAGTAGTGGTGACAGCGACAGTTGTGGTAATGGTGGCATAGTTGCGGCGGCGGCAGCGATAGTGGCGGTGGTGGTGACGACAGTGGATGCGACGATGATGATGATAATGACATGATGGTGGCGGCGGTGTGGCGGCGGCTGTGGTGACAGTAGTGGCTGCAACAATGGTGATGGTGATGACATGGTGGCGGCGGCGGCGGCGGCGAAAGTGTAGTGGTGGTGGCGGCAACGGCGACGACGATGGCCGTAATGGTGGTGGCGTGGTGGTGGTGGTGATGACGGTGGTAGTAGTGGTGGTGGTACGACGATGGTGGCGGTGGTCATGTTGGGATGGTGGCAGCGGTGGTGATGATTGTAGCGATAGAGAGGTAATTGAGAGAGATAAGTATTTCTCATTTTGTGCCGGGAACAAAAATGCAGAGATTTTTGATTCGTTTTTCTGTTCCCTAGCACAAAAATTAATCGGTTCATCCCGGGAACAAAAAAAAATAAACCGATTTTATCAAACGAGTTTTCTATCCATTTCTGCTTCCGGGAGCAGAAATTAAAATAGAATTGATTCCGAGAAGGTTGTCATGCACACCCTTAAATCAATGTTGTCAAAATCGAGTTTTTATGTAGAAACGGAAAGGGGTGGTAGAAAAATAAATAATAGAAACTACATAAACCTAAAGTTTTTACTACTTAAGGTCAAGTTACCACTATTAAGGTCTGGGGTTTCACGAAGGAGGGAACTTTGGAAGTAACATATGTGCACAGAGAAGAAAATGTAAGTTGTGTGACCAGATGTTTGCATAAGTAAATTTTTTATTTTGTATCAAGCATATTTTAGTTGTGATTTCATTTGGAGAAATCAAGTTGATATTTTCTATAATGGTTATCGAGTTAGTTGACTCACACAATCTTTTTTTTTTTTTTTTGTTATAGGGTGTTCTTGCACTTTGTTGGATGATTGATGCAGAAGCCAAGCCTATACTGTATTGCTCGTGCAGAGACAATTCAGTTCGCATGTATGATTTGCCATCGTAAGTGAACTTGCATCCTTTTTTCTTCTGTAAAACTCTATATATTTCTGCTTTGGGCAAATGTTGCAGCCCCTGACCATGTCTACATTTTCAGATTTTCAGAAAGGGGTAGGCTATTTTTGCAAAAAGATGTTCGGTCATTACAGATAGGTCCTGATGGGGTTGGGCTTTTCTTCACTGGAGATGAGACTGGTTTGCTAACTGTGTGGAAATGGTTGGAAGAGCCCAAGGTGCCATGAGAAATGTCCATTTCCCCCCATCAACTGGTCTCTTTTTTACACCAAATGTCCAGATGATGCGAGGGTATTATGCAAGGAAGTAGAACCAGATTGAATTTACTTTTTCCTGTACAGATAGCAATAGTGATTGTAACAAGAAGTATATAATGAATGAAAAATTCCAATTCCAATTTCAATGTTCTCTTTCTTTTTCTGTTAGTTCATTCTAGCTAGCAGATGTTATTTTCTCCTGCCTTTATAAATATGTTAAAAAGAAACTTGTGTTGCTTTAAATTCTCGATCCCTATCCTTACAGAATTGTGGAAAATTACAATTGGGATGTCTTTTCCGGATGCCGATAGCAGTAATGCCTCTCCCAATAATTTCAAATATTGAATTCTTATTATTGTGGATCTCTTTTAAAATCTTGTTTTTAAATTTGAAATTTATTTGTTCTGAAAACTTGCTACAGTTCTTCTCTCGATGTATAAATTTTTTCTGGTTAATGTGTCCTTTGTTGATGAATACTTTACATGAATCATTTACAGTAATGCAATTCGGGGTCTATGATATAGAATAATTGTTAAAATTGAAAAGTACTTATAAATTTTTACTTAATTAGCCAATGTTGGATCCTTTCTTGGCAAGGCTCAATTGGGGTGTGGTAAGGTTAGATCCTTTTTTTATGCTTATTAATGGCTTAAATATAAAAAGTTGTGTCTTTGGCTCACATGAATATTGTTATAACTGTCTCAAAGAATACTTCAATTCTCTAAATAATAAATAATCTTTTGATTACAAAGAAAAAATATTTATAAACCATTCAGTCAATGTCAGCTTCTTAAACATTGTTGTCTCCTAAGATAATAATAAAAAAATATAAAGTGGGGCAATATCACATAATCTAAACTTGTGCCTCATTTAAGTTAAACTTCAAGATATACTCTGATGAAAAGTAAATAAAGACTGCTAAATGGTTATCACGCTTGCATTGGAATTCAAGGAATAGAGGAGTTCTTGATGGAAGGGCTCTTTGTTTTTAAGCAATATCTCTACTGCACTTGACAATGATATGTGGCTTGCAGCTTCTAAAATCAAACTTCTCAAACTCTTCTGTTTCTCATTATTTCTTAATTTTGAACTTATAAGACCCAAAATTATGATATTTCTACGCTAGTCCCCTGCTGATCAATTCATCATAGGTTGTCCAATTTGCAGAAAGAGAAAAGAAGTCAAATATAACATAATGAGAAATTAATCTATATTGATATTGATAGTGATAAAGACTAACAACAAACATAATGAAAATGAGAATGTTAATAGAAGTTCCTCCTAAAGAAGCAATCCTAGGCTTTATATGTGACATTGACTATAGCAAAATAGAAAATCTGTAATCTGTTTTACAAGTTTCTCCTACCAAAAACCTTGGTTAATGATTTTTATGCAAGAAGCAAACTAGTTGAAACCTGCTTTCTTATCCTTTCTTTTCTACATTTGTGATGGTATATAAGCTTCTTCTTGGAGACCAGCTATAGATTATAGTTTGTTCATGATGTCACTACTAAACATGTTCTTACAGAAACTTATCAACTCCTTTTCTCTTCTTTGGTTTCCATTGCTACTGATCCTGCTGAGCACTGCCTCAGTTAATGGTGTCCGGCAAAAGGCAATTGACTTCTTCTCCTTTCTTCATTTATTACATTAGCTAGATACATTTGATTTCTTTTAGATTTCCATTCTACGTGAGCTTGACAATTTTTTTGACTTGTCTGCAGAACTTTTATATTGTTTTCCTTGGAGTTCATCCTGTGAGTAGTGACATTGCTTTAGAGACTCACTTGAATATTCTCTCAGTTGTTAAAGGAAGGTAACATGATTAATTCATTAACCCTTTCTTATCCGTAACTCTTCAAACATAAAAATCACATAAAAGTGAACTATGTAGCTCTTGTTCATTCAAATACTCTCCTGTTTTTAAACTAAAGGCATTCATTCTTTCAAAGCCATCAGAAGGAAACTTCTTTCATTATTTTGTTTTAATTTTGTGCCCTTTTTGTGTTTTGATCTGTGTTTACTTAACAGCCACCTTGAAGCCAAAGAATCCATTGCATACAGCTACACCAAAAGCTTTAATGCATTTGCTGCTAAACTGTCTGAGGATGAAGCCAAGAAGTTATCTGGCATGTTATCGTTATTCTCTATTTCCTTCATACTTTTTTTTTTAAGCATTATGTACTTACAGTCATTATTACCTTTGTTGTATATGTAGCCATGGATGAGGTACTTTCGGTTTTTCCAAATCAGTACCGTAAGCTACACACAACAAGATCATGGGACTTTATTGGGTTACCTTTGACTGCTAAGAGAAAACTGAAATCAGAGAGTGACACAATTGTGGCTCTTTTGGATACAGGTTCATCATACCTTTCTTCCAATATTCATTTTTTGTAATTCCTTGTTTTTGATGTTAGATATTATATAATGGCACTTCATTATTTAATTGCAAAATTCTGTGCCTTCATATTGATGAGGTAGGGATCACTCCTGAATTTCAAAGCTTCAAGGACGATGGATTTGGTCCTCCACCTGCTAAATGGAAAGGAACCTGCGATCACTATGCTAATTTTTCAGGCTGCAATAAGTAACATCCCTATCCTTGTGTATGTTGTGTCACTATGTTTTCAATCTTTGTACTATAACAAATTGGGAGCATCAATATAATTAATCATTTTAATCAAATCTCAATTGTAAGCAACTAAATTATTTCAAACTACAAAAATAAGTGGTTTATGAAATAATCAAACAATCACCATTAAAATTTATCTTTTAATAATTGAATGAACTACCACTGTTCAGTGTTAACCATTTATATTAAATGTTGAAAATCTATTTGAAGTTTGGTTACATATACATAATTATGGTTAAAATCAAGATTGTACCTCTCATACCACTACTACTGTTTTTAGTTTATGAAGGAGGTCCTAAATTTAGTACTACTGATCAGCATGCTTTTAAATATAAACTTCACAAGTTTTAGTATGGCTATAGATAACTTTATGTACTCCTTGTTCTTGTTAACTCTACATGGAAAACTTGAAGCAAGATCATAGGAGCCAAATACTTCAAGATTGATGGAAGGACTGATCCATCTGACATATTATCTCCCATAGATGTGGATGGCCATGGCACTCATACTGCATCAACGGCTGTAGGAAATCTTGTCCCAAATGCAAGTCTCTTTGGGGTAGCTAAAGGGACTGCTCGTGGGGCAGTGCCATCAGCAAGGTTGGCAATTTACAAAGTTTGCTGGTCAAGCCATGGATGTTCGGACATGGATATACTTGCTGCATTTGAAGCTGCTATGCATGATGGGGTTGATGTCATATCCATTTCCATAGGTGGAGGGAATGAAAATTATGTGGAGGACTCTATAGCAATTGGAGCATTCCATGCCATGAGGAAAGGCATAATCACTGTGGCCTCAGCTGGAAATGATGGTCCCACTATGGCAACAGTCACAAATAATGCACCATGGATTGTAACAGTAGCAGCTAGTGGCATTGATAGGGATTTCCAGAGCACTATAGAGTTGGGGAGTGGGAAAAATGTTTCAGTAAGTTTTATTCTCTTGGCAATCACATATTCTACGTAATGTTTGAGAAATATAAAACCATTAAAACGGTCTTCATCTAACAGCTTAAGCTTTTGGATTGAATTGATTCTTTACATAGTATCAGACCTATGTGAATAAGTGGTCATGAGTTTCATCCTCGCTATCCACATTCTATTAATACATAGTGTTATTTGAACATAAATAAAAAAGAAAAGAAAAGGCTATAGTCATTTTTAGTTCAAGTGTGAAGCCTATTTCAATAACTTGTCACATGCATGCAACTAGTGGCATTATATCCAAGACCAATTAATGTAGTTTATAGGGATATAGAGTGAATTTCAGTGACAACACATCTAACATCTGTGGCTTGTTAGCAAATACTATGATGAATATATCATATGTGCACACCCAACTGTGAGTGTTATGCAGGGCACGGGAGTGAACACCTTCAACACAAAACAAAAACAGTACCCCCTTGTTGATGGTGTCAATGCAGCCCGAAACACTACAAGCAAGGAAGATGCGAAGTAATTTTCTTTTTTGTTTTTGATAACACCTGGTTAAGTTTTCAACATTTAACAAAGAATATTTTAATACATTCACAGATTCTGCTTTGAAGACTCCTTAGAGCCAAATAAGGTGAAAGGAAAGCTTGTTTACTGTAGATTAAGAATATATGGCACTGATTCTGTTGTGAAAGCAATTGGAGGCATTGGTACTATAATGGAAAATGAACAATTTCTCGATGTTGCCCAAATTTTCATGGCTCCTGCCACCATTGTGAATAGTAGCATTGGTCAAATTATTACCAATTATACACAATCCACAAGGTAAGAGATGTTCTTGTTTGTTCTCTGAATGGCCACTGAGTTGATATTTTGCTACTTGCTAATTTTTCTTTAAACAAGCTTATAAATGAGTCTTTGCCACAACTAAGCTTTTCTACTGGATTATCTCATAACAAAAATTTTACATGAATTTCCTGTTCAACTAAGATCACCATCAGCAGTGATACACAAGAGCCATGAAGTAAAACGGCCAGCTCCATTTGTTGCTTCATTTTCATCTAGGGGTCCAAATCTAGGATCTTTACATGTTCTCAAGGTACCAACAGTTTCAAATTTTCATCCCTTACATTCTTAGTGGACTTTTTTCTATTCTGTTTGAGGAATTGAGTGTGTTTTATGTTTGATGCAGCCTGATGTTACAGCTCCTGGCATTAACGTCTTGGCATCTTATACACTTAGGAAGTCAATTACTGGTTTGAAAGGGGATACTCAATTTTCAGAGTTTACACTATTGTCTGGGACTTCTATGTCATGCCCTCATGTTTCTGGAGTAGCAGCATATGTGAAGTCATTTCACCCAGATTGGACTCCTGCTGCAATCAGATCTGCCATTATTACCACAGGTGAAAATTAAAGCTTATATCCACATTTGTTGATTTGTTTCATCATATGCAAAATCTGAAGGCTTTGTGCCTCGAGTCATAACTTCATATCTTTTGAGATGGCTTGACTTGTCTATACTCTTTGTCAAGCTAAACCTATGAGCCAAAGAGTTAACCAGGAAGCAGAATTTGCCTATGGTGCTGGTCAAGTCAATCCAACAAGAACTGTGAACCCTGGTTTAGTCTATGACATGGATGACTTTGCATATATCCAATTCTTATGCCATGAGGGCTATAATGGTTCCACTTTATCAGTTTTAATTGGCTCTCCTATAAATTGCACCTCTTTGCTTCCTGGTCTTGGCCATGATGCTATCAACTATCCCAGCATGCAACTAAGCATGAAAAGCAACATAGTCACAACAGTTGGAGTTTTCAGGAGAAGAGTAACCAATGTAGGTCCTGCTCCAACCATCTACAATGCCACCATAAAATCCCCTAAAGGAGTCGAAATCACAGTGAAGCCTACTAGCCTCATTTTCTCTCACACCAAGCAGAAGAGGAGCTTCAAGGTAGTGGTGAAAGCAAAACCTATGGCAAGTATGCAAATTGTATCAGGTTCACTTATTTGGAGAAGCTCCCATTACATTGTTAGGAGCCCAATTGTTATCTACAGTCCATAAGGTTACAGTTAGCAGTAGCCAAAATCAAGTTTGTAACATTGCCTGTGTGCTCCCATCACTTCCTCTGCATAATGTTGACATTTTGTTTAGCATATGATATCTAAGTTTTTTAACGTCAAGATTGTTTATTATGCCTATGCAAGCATCAAATGAGTGGGGCATGAATATTTTTATAGTCAGTAGAAATTTCATTCTCAATTTTAGTCTATATCGGGAAAAAGCACTATTTTAAAATTTTTGAGCAAAAGAATTGTCCAGTTAAAGTTGATTGGATAAGTTTTTTCAAAGTAATGCAGTCAAACATGTCACATATTCTGACGAGACTAGTCTCGTCACTGACACTGACGGGACTCGTGCCACGTCAGCGCCACCTAGGCAGTTTTGTTACCATAAAACTTCAGAAGACCATAACTTGTGACTCGGGTATCCAAATCAGATGATTTTTTTTTTTGATTTCACATGACTTTTCGAGATCTAAGCAATGACATCTCATTTGACATATTTCATCTTTCACAAACATAATTTGAATTGGTAACAATTGTACCACAATCACGCGTTTAAATCCAGAAGAGCTTCAAACTATGTTTGTGGGAGATAAAATATGTCAAATTAGGTGTCATTGCGTAGATCTCAAAAATTTATGTGAAATCAAAAAAAAAATCATCTGATTTGGATACCCGAGTCACAAGTTATGACCTTCCGAAGTTTTACGATAATTGAACTGCCTACGTGGCACGAGTCTCGTCAGTGTCAGTGACGGGACTAGTCCTGTCAGCATATATAACATGTTTGACTGCATTACTTTGGAAAAACATATCCAATCAGCTTTAACTGAGTAATTCTTTTGCTCAAAAATTTTAAAATGGTGCTTTAGCCTCTGATAACTCATGTGAGTATACTTTTTTTTTTTTTTGGTATCCAACTCATGTGACTAATTAATCAGTGCTATTAGATGAAAATAGATTAACGATTAAAATTTAGCATAAAACTTGTTATTCTTAACAGTTTAAATTAATTCTTCAATAGATTATTTTGTAATGTGTTGAAAGTAGAAATTGAAAATTTTTCAGCAACATCTTTTAACATTTATGTGAGATAAAAGTTTGTGGAACAAAAATCAAAGTTAGATAAATAATTATTATTCAGCTTTTTTCTTCCATGATCGTGCTTTAGAGCTAATTTTAGATTTATGGAAATTATACAAGTAATATTAATGATCTCTTTAATTTTTTATTGCAACCTTTATATCCCCACCCAACTGTTTGGCCAGAAAAGATTTGAAGCTACTTTTCCTATTACTTTTATGATGAATACATATATAAGAAGAGAAAAATGCAAGGAAGCAAGAAAGCATAAAAGCATAATTCCGTGACAAGAACACACCAACAATTGTTTAGGTAGATGTATGATGCAAACATTGCTTGACCACTTGTGTTTAGGTGGCTCCACCTAAACATGTCTCTTTTCAAATCAGATGTTTGCCCAAACAAGTAGAGCAGAGTTGAGATGACGTTGAAGCCTAAAATTTATGTGAATATAAGAATTCAGAAAGGTTTTGGATATGGTTGAATTCCATGAAATAAATAAATACATCAATCATTTTATATTATTATTTTTTTTTTTGATGAAGGGCCAAAGCCCAAGAAACAAAGGAATTACATCAGAAAATGTCTAGCCCTGTGTACAGAGCTAAAATCAGAAAAATACAACTCTCTAACACCAAGGGGAGGAACTTGAAATAAACAAAAATCTTCTTGATCCAGATTGACAAGAGGAAGATTAGCAAGCCAGTTTGCACAAAAATTACCCTCCCTATAAGTATGCATGAGCTTGACATCCCAGGATTTTGATAACCATTCCCGTATCCGAGCCACTAAAGGAGACTCACAGGATGCATCACCAGAAGTGGTGAGCAGAGTGATAGTCGAAGCTGAATCACTTTCTAGCATGACTTTCCTCCAACCTCCTTCCCACTCCCGTTCAAGCCCTTTCAGAATACCCCGAAATTCAGAATTTATCGCATTACACGTTCCAATTCTATAAGAAAAGGCTTCCAACCACCTACCATCTGAACCACGAATAAGACTACCACACGCAGCATTACCTGGGTTGCCTCTAGAAGCTCCATCAGTGTTAAGCTTGACCCACCCCTCATCCGGTGGGATCCATCTAATCCACTTCACATAAGAATTACAAGTTGAATTTTCTGTAACAACTCCTGCAAAAACTGAATCTACTTCCAAGGCTTTAAATTTAATCACCTCTTGCTTTCCACCTTGCCAGTCCCATGAACAATCTCATTCCTCCAACTCCAAGCCTTCCAACAAGTCATCCCAAAAATCAGCTTCCACTTTATATCAAAAGAAAAGGACGATACCTGCATCAAATTAATCAAAAGCCAGTCTTGCAAGTTTAGATTAAAAAAATCAGATCCAGCCAAGTGAGGTGCAATCTGAATCCACAGGTTACGGATTCTTGAACAATCCCTCAAAAGGTGCAAAGTATCCTCCTCTTCTTGTTCACACACTGGACACAATCCTGAACACATAAGGAATTTGCTAATTCTCTTCCTTATTGGTAATCTATCATGGGCCACCTTCCACATAAAAACTTTTATTCTTTGAGGACCCATCCACTTCCATATTGCCTTCCACAAACCAGGATCACCAACCTGCACATTATAAGGCTCCGAGAATGCATCATACAACCCTTTAATTGACAATTTAGGATATCCAGGCAAGTACCAATGTAGAGTATCATTACCACCATTTGTAGTAGGAGGAAGGATACTCCTAATACTGTTAATTATCTCAGAAGGCAGCCAGCTCAGAAACTCATCTAGCTTCCAATTTCCCAAATTATTCACATACTGATTAATGGAATTATTAGCCTCTTCCCATGGGATAACTTGAAGAGCATGATCCAATAGCCTGCCTGAATTATTAACCCATTTATCTTTCCAAAAGAGGATCGATGAACCATCTCCAATCTTCCACACTAACAAATCTTCAAGCTTCCTCCAGGCACAACAAATCTGTCTCCAGATTGTAGAATCACCAGCCTTTGACCTGAATATATCAATTCCATCCCTACCATTTGCATATTTTGCCCGAAGAACCTGGACCCAAAGGGCTTGAGGATGAGAAAAAACATCCCAAGCTAATTTAGCCAAGAAAGCTTCATTCATAAATGTTAATTTTTTTAGACCCGACCCTCCTTTTGGTTTTGGCTTTGTGATTGTGTCCCAACCCACTTGATGCATCTGCCTTCGATGTTCAGTATCACCCCAGATAAAATTCCTCTGGATTTTCTCTATCTCCATACACACCGCCTTAGGAATCCCCACCGCTTGCATTTGGAAATAAGGAATGGAGGCTAAAACTGATTGAGATAGTGTAATTCTACCTGCCTGATAGAGACACTTAGCTTGCCAACCAGAGAGTTTATCTTTTACTCTATCAATTGTTGCCTTATAAGCATCTTTATTAGCCCGGCCATGTTGCATCCACGCCCCCAAATAACGACCCACATTCCTGACTCTTTTAAAATTGCAAATATCTGATATACTACTAGCCATCTCATCTGATGTATTTTTGGAGAAAAAAATACTAGTTTTCTGAACACTAACTCTTTGACCTGAGATTTCTCCAAATAAATCTAAGCACTTAAGAACTGCCTAGATTTGGTCTACTATGGCTTCTGCAAAAAGCATCAAGTTATCTGCAAACATTAAATGAGAAATTTCCGGTCCCTCCTTTCCTATTCGAATAGGTTTCCATAAACCTCCCTTGACTGCCGTGTCAATAATATGAGAGAGTTTTTCCATAGCCATAACAAATAAATAAGGCGATAAAGGATCACCTTGTCTTATTCCCCTGGTAGGTTGAAACTCCTCAGTAACACTACCATTCCATAAGATATTCGTCTTTGGAGAGGACACTCCTTGCATAATAATGTCAACAAACTTCTCGGGCAACTTCATTTCCCGCATAGTGTGCTTAAGGAAATTCCAATTTAGCCTATCATAGGCCTTCTCCAAATCAACCTTCACAGCCATGAAAGCTTTTTTCCCCCTCATGCCATGCATAGTGTGGATTAATTCTTGAACCACAATGATATTATCTTGAATATGCCTCTGTGGGATAAAACTAGCCTGAACCGGTGAGATCAACTTCATCATGATTGGCTTCAGTCTCGTAACCAGAATTTTGCTAATAATCTTGAAGATAACAGGACATAGAGATATGAGCCTAAACTGGGTTATATGGGAAGGAGACTGATTCTTCGGAATCAAGACAATCAAAGTGGAATTAACGGATGAAATGATTTCAGGATAATTCCAAACATCCACTATAAAATTAAAAATCTGCTCTTTAACTGTTTCCCAATTTTTTTGGAAGAAGAAGGCTGGATAACCATCGATCCCCGGAGCTTTCAATGCTCCCATATCAAACACAGCCCGACGAATTTCCTGATGAGAGGGAAACTTATCAAGCCCGAACTTTATTTAGCTTTCAATGCATAAATCCTTTTTAACAGAAAATCTTACCAGGAAATATCCGTTCTCTTTTTTTTGGTTGAAGTGCACATTATCTAAATCTATTTTTTTTTTTTTTTTGTAAGTATCTAAATCTAATTTTTATATGTCTGATAAAATTGAGTTAGCTCGAAAAACATTGTATACCCCAAACAATCCATTCTACTTTGCATGTGTTCTTGACCTAAAAAAGCACAACTGCTTGGTACAGGTTTATAAACCATTGTTGTTGATGAATATTTTATATAAACTTCTTAACAATATTTATAAACCAGTCAATCAATGTCAGCTTCTTAAACATTCTTGTCTCCTAAGATAATAATAAAAAAAATATAAAGTGGGGCAATATCACATATTAATTATAGAACTTGTGCCTCATTTAAGTTAAAAACTTCAAGGTATCCCCTGATGAAAAGTAAATAATGACTGCTAAATGGTTATCACGCTTGCATTGGAATTCAAG